CCCTCTCTCTCTCTCTCTCTCTCTACCTCTCTCTCTCTCTCTCTCTCACTTTCCTCTCTCTTTTTTCTCCTCTCTCTCTCTACTCTCTCGCTCTGTATAATACATATATATATATATATTATATCCGGTGACGATTTCTCTCTCTCTATCTTTCTCTCTCTCTCTCTCTCTCTATTTCTCTCTTCTCCTCTCTCTCTCCCCCCTCTCCCTTTTCTCCTCTTCTCTCTCTCTCTCTCTCTCTCTCTCTCTATTCTCTTCTCTCTCTCTCTCTCTCCCTCCCTCTCTGCGCTCTAGTATATATACATGTATTATATGTATATCATATCTCTCTCACTCTTCCCCCCTCTCTGGCCTCGCTCCCTCCGGCCTCGCTCCCTCTGGCGCTCTCTCTCCTCTCTCTCTCTCTCTCTCCTCTCTCCCTCTCTCTCTCTCTCTCTCTCTATACTTCTCTCTCTCTCTCCCTCTCTCTCTTCGCTCTACTCTCCTCTCTCTCTCTCTTTCTCTCTCTCTCTCTCTCTCTATAATATCCCTCCCTTTCTCTCTCTCTCTCTCTCTCTCTCTCCGCCTTCTTCCTCTTCTCTCTCTATCTCTCTCTCTCTCCTACTCTCTCTCTCTCTCTCCTCTCTCTCTTCTCTGTCTGTCCTCTCCTCTCTCCCTCTCTCTCTCTCTCTCTCTCTCTCTCTCTCTCTCTCTCTCTCTCTCCTCTCTCTCTCTTCTCTCTCTCTTTCTTCTCTCTGTCTTCTCTCCGCCACTCTCTCTCTCTCTCTCTCTCTCTCTCTCTCTCTCTCTCTGTCTCCCTAACTCTCGTTTATGCGGAACAAGGCACTCCGCGCTGGCCGTGGCGACCGACTCGAACCCCCCTTCGCGTCTTGCGCCGAGGGGGGCCCCACCTGCTAAATGTCAAAACAATGCGCAATCCGAGTTTAACCGACTCGCCCATCGAGGTCACCCTGCTTCCCAGGCGTATACTGGACTCTCTGCGCAACGAGGGCACTCGAGGATCCCCAGTCGCAGTTGCGCAAAACACACGCATGCGGAGCGCGCCTGGTCTGTCCTGGGGACTTGTCCCAATCTGGTCAGCCGTCTTCGGATACACCGCCGCTGCCACCATCGAGATCCACGAGCGCCTGCATATCGCTCAGGGCAACGATGCAACTATAAATCCTCATTGGGAAAAGGCACAAGCCTATTGTAGTGCCATCGTGCGCGCTGATGCACAAAACCTTTCGCCCGTTCAGCTTCGCGCTGCGAACGCTGGACACATCGCCGGACATCGAGCCCCCCCTCGCGCCGCCGCCATTCGCCGCAACGGAGCCACCGGAGGAACCCCCCCGCGCAGCGACCGCGCCCACATCTTCCGTCGCCGCGCAAGTCAAAGAACTGCCACGATCTCGGCGACTGGGAGACCCGTGACCGACATGGGAAAGCTGCTGGAATTCGGCAACGCCAAAACCACGCACTCCTTCTGCGTAAACACTGCGAATGCAACACAGTGAGATCCCTGCGCCCTTTCCCCGTTAGGCAGGCAGAATCGCCCTTTCCAAAATGCGCTCAATTTAGCGCGCACCGCGCGCCCTGATCAGCCGCGAAGACCCCGCCCCCCAGCTACGGCAAAATCACCGCGCGCCTCGCCACCAGGCTTCGCGATGATCAGCAGCTCCCCCGAGGACGAGTCAATGCCGACAGAGCGGCGGCCCTGGGGCGAGGCACCCCGCCTCTCGCCACGAAAGCCGCAATCGCCCACTGAGATCGAGACCGAACACCCCGAGTTCGCCACGGCCGCCGAGTAATGCCTCAAGCCCGAAGCAATAACTCTCCGAGCACAGGCGCGTCGTCGCCGTCGACGGACCTCCCGCCTTCGTCGCCACCTCTCCCAGCGACGCGCATATCTGGATCAGGAGAGACGAGGTCGCCCGGGGCTACTCCTCGATGAGGCCCGCGCGAAAATGCACATCAGCGAAGGGTCGACGATTTTTTCTCCTTCTCGCCGACGCCAGAAAACACTGCGCCGGCGCAACCCCTGAACGGCCCCGCACGCTCCGACGAGGAGACCGTCGAGAGCCCGCTCAAACGCTGCACATCGGGCGGAACAGGCCCAGTCATGAGCGCGAGCGCCGTGGCTCTCTGAACCCCCCAGAATGTGTTCGTCAATGTCAAGTACGGCGGTTTCCTTTTCCACGGGTCTCTCCCCGGGCGCTCCAGCGGCCGCGAGCGAAGGCTAGAACATCGCGTTCATGTTGAAGGCCGCGTTGTTTCGAGCATGTCACCCCAGTCAGACCTCAGCCGTCAGGCGGTGCTGCGGAGCGCCACGATCCGGACCGAAAGCCCTTCTCGTTGATCGCCAGCGGGATCGAGAAAACCACGCGCACATCACCCCCCATCCAGATCGCTGGCATGGGCCGACATCCACATCTCCTCATCATCTTCTATTGATACTGCCCATCTCGAGCGCGTCTTTCGTCGCCCAGGGCAATCAGGACCAGGCCCCCCATTGCCCGACCGATCGGGAAGGCGCGTTCCGCGATCGACATAAAATCAAACGCGAAAAAACAAAACACCCCCCGTGCTACGCCCTCACGTCGCTGAATGAAATCCACCTGCAGAGCGGCCTTGTTCGGCCCGGTCTTGAACGCACTCTTTGCAAACGCGGCGCTTTGCAACATGACCAAGTCAAGAAAACGCGCATGTGACATCGCGATCGATTCCCGGGGCCCTCCCATGACTGGCGAGCGCTCTCACTTGCACGAAAGGACAGCCCGACGAACATTTCTCTATGAGTTCTAGATATTTACGCACCTCACCTATCACATCCGCTATGGTGTCAAACCGGCGGCCACGACTCTCCCCGCCCTCCTTTGCAGCCATCACGGCTGCCGTTTTCTGAGCGTCATCAGCGTGCCACCTCAGCGGGCGCCACAGAATCCGCATCAACATTGCCCCCTTTCATCCCTGGTCTTGCCATGGCCATCGGGCGCTGGACCTCCCTGGCGCAGGCAGGGCGATCATCTGACGCAACTCATCGCTCCTCTGCTGCAGGTCTCTGCGCGTAGACGACTGACTGGCCTCCGCCGCCCTCTGCGGCTCGTCGTCAGACGCCCGCGCGGTTGCTGCCATATCCTGAGCACCTCTCGCAGCGACCCGAGCGACCCCGTTACTCATGACAGCGGCATTTCCATCCGTTTGCGGGTCAGCACTACCGGCCGTCGAACTCTTCTGTTCGCTGTCGAGGCATTCCTGCAAGTTGTCAAACCGTTGCTTTTTTGCTAAGAATGCGCGCATCAAGCGTTGCGATATGTTGTCTCAGACGCCCACCTAATCCCACGCGGCCTGGGTAGACTTCAATGTTTCACGTTTGTTTTCTTTGTCCCTACAGCTTCTTCGAGCGCCAAGGTCAGATATCGATGGAATGCACCCATGATTGCATTAACGTCGTCCTGGTGAACGCCCGCATGCATAAGCGAACGCACAAATTGTCATAAGATTTACCATATATTAATGATACGAGTGGCAATAACAATAAATATGCAATATGGTATAATGAAAGACACTGCAAAATAATACCATATATTATAATATGATACAATCATATATAATAAGAACCGTATTAATATACGTAATACGATTTTGCTGGCACCAGGTCATCATATTGGTATCAACGGCCATGTATTCCACGCTGATCAGCGTCAGGTGTCCGCCGGCCAACCGACGGAGATCGACCAATGCTGCATGGCCCGTCATAAACGTGCATTCCGAGACAGAAACGGGGGCCAACCCTCCAAGATTGTTGAAATCATGTTCGGGAAGTGTCGACATCCATCCCCTGCACTGCTAGGAGCAGCAGGATTCGCGGGAGAGGCTTCCTCTGTCATTTCGGTCCCACCAAGGCGCGACGGAGGGGGATCGCGAGCTTGATGCCCAGAGCCATCTTTCCCAGGCGGGGGGGGGATAACTGCAGCCCAGCTTCCGATTCCGGTCAGTCAGCCTGTGGACCTTTTTACTTCCTGCTGGAATTGGGGAAAAGGATGGTTTCCCACCTTAGCAGCTGACCCAGGACACACCTGGCATCCAACGGGCAATACCCCACCAGTTGGATGCATGCCCAATCCAGGGGCGGAAGTCCTTGCTGAACGGCCGCTCTTTGCTTGTAGTCTGTTGGAAGAAAATGTGGGGGAAGACGACGGCGAAGGCAAAAGAGAGACAGAAGAAAACATGGCCTGGCCTGCCAGGATGTAGAGCGTGCGATGATGACGTCAAGCTTTCAAAAACCTCGGTACTTTGCAAAATCTGGAACGACTTTTCGGTTTCATTGCCTTTTCCCTGCATTGCTCCGCCCGGGCACTGTAAATTCGCAGGCACGACGGCAGGTCCGCCAGCGGCCACCAGCCGAAAACGTCCAAGCCCAGATCACTGATCACCAGCTGGTTCTCTAAAGTCGTGGCCTTCGACAACATGACGTACAAGTACAACTAAACAGTGTTTAAAACCCGTGTGGCTGGCATCTCAGGTGCGCAGTACAGCGGCGACAGTTGCCCGCCTGACAGCACGGTTCGCCCGTGTGGGGCCCGATTCCTGCGCCAGCTGCGAAGGTGGCAACACACAGAAAGGCGAGGGCCAGTGGCTTGTGTAATATCGCGTTCCGTTGGAACCCCAGGGGGCTTACGAAAGCGGCCACACTGGCGCATGTAAACAAAGTCCAGTTCGGGTCAGCGTAGCACCGCACTCCGCTGAACCCCCCCAAGACACAAAGGCGAAACGACTTCAAAATTGGCAACACAACTGGATGGCGAGGTACTGTTTGGGTCTGCGTGGCACCGAGTTTCGCTGCGCCGAACAGGAGCTCACAAAAGTGGCCATAGACAAGTGCCTGGCACCATCAAGGGGATCCAAAGGGGAAAGGGGGAGGGGGTGTGCGAAGTCCCGTCTGGATAGTACTGCATTTTTCTGGACCCCTCGGGGGCGCAACACAGAGGAGACGATTGCGCATGTGGAATATGGATGGCACTACACTCCGCTGAGCCTGGGGAGCTCACAAGCGTGGCGACACTTGCGCACTGGGCAGCAAGTGGCAGCGCTCAGGGAGGCAGGAAGGAGGCAGGCAGGGAGGCAGGAGACGGACAAATGGAAAGAGGAAGGGAGAGGACTGGGCGGGAGAGGAGCATCAGTGCCCCATTCAAAACGAGTGCCCAACCACAGGAGGGTCGGCAAAACGACAGCAAAGTTTCACGGCGGGGCTCCCAGTGGCACTGAACACAAGATAATCAAACACTGAGGAATTCAAACAATGAAAAAGGACAGAGCGGATAAGGGAAGTTTGAAGGCCAATCCTACCAATGCTCCGCTCACTGCAGGGCTCCCCATCAGATCCTGTGAGCGCGCAGGCAAGATCCAAAGTGGGCGATTGTCCCACAGGGTGACAGAAAGAGGGCCATGGCATCGACATACGGATTATGTGGATCGGATGAAACGAACAGAATGGAGCATGGGGGCACTGATACTTACATGGGAGCCCAGGAACACTCGGAACCCAAGCGCACGGCAAAATCACACCGATTTCTAGAAGTCGAGAGCGTTACAAGCGTAGCAGCAATAGATGCAAGCATCAAAAAGGACATGGATATCGGTTCCAGGCGCGAACATGCAACGACGAGGATGGCCAGTACGAACACTGTTGTCAACAACTGTCGCGCTCATGTGAGTCGCAAAGCGAAAGTAATGGTCGCGGACAGTTCGGACAGCTCATCACGATAATCAAACTCGGATGCATGTACCAAGAACTGCAACCAGACCACGCAAACAATACGGGTCAAACAAAAAAGTACACGCGCAATGACTGAAGGCTGTCATGGCAGAATAACAGCGGCTACACACTATAACGATCAGAGCCATATGAATATATTCATACGTATATCATGCACATATATTCCCCAATCAAGGCTTGCACTGAAGGGGTCCTAGTGGAAGTTGAAAGACTTGGCGAAAAATTCCCGCCGACTGGGGTTTTCGCTGAAAAGATCGACAGTGAACCTGGGAGCCCTGGAACCCAAAACCACCGAAATCGGCCCGGAACCAGTAACCGGGAACCCGGGAACCCGGAAGCGGGAACCCATGCAAGAACCCAGCCTGCTATAAAAATCGGCGGGAAACGTTCGCCGAATCTTTCAACTTCCGCTAGGGCACCTTCAGTGCAAGCACTGATTGGGGAATATATATATATATATATATATATATATATACTAGAACCATCGCGCGCGCTTCGCGCGCGCCCAGGTTCTAGCCCAGTCCGGGGGGGCGCTGGACGATCTTGGACAACGCTATCAAACACAGGCGCGCGACGGCATCAGAAGAGTTTCTGGGGTGTTCCGCATGCTTCGTAGACTGGCTGTTGGAGGCACCTCTTGGGTGGCTCTTGGGGGGGCGTCTGAGGGTCCCTTGGGGGCATCGGTTCTGCAATCTGAAGCCGTCATTGGCCGTCTTGGCTGCGTGGAGGCCCGACTTGAGGCCACCTGCGGCCAGATTGAGGCAATCCGGAAACCTCCCGGGGGCCTCCTGGAAGCAGTTTTGATGCATCGAGGGCACTCTTGGGCTATTTTAAATACCTCTTGGACGTCTCCTAGGGGCCTTTTGGGCCCTCCGGAAGCTTTTGAGGTCCTCTTGCGGCCTCCTGTGAGCCTTTGGGGGGAACGCTTTGCTGCTGTCGGGTCGCGCTCCCCTTCTTGGGCCTCTCTTGGGGCTCTTGGGGCCCTCTCGGGCCGTCTTCGGCGCCTCAAGCACCGTCTTGGGGCCTTCGCGGGCCGTCTTGGGGCCCTCTTGGAGGCCTCTTCCTCTATATTGGACCGGCATTGGAAGCCTCTTGGGCCATCTTGGAGCATCGGGATGCCTAAAGGCCGAAAAATTAAAACCCCTCAAAGCCCAATCGTAAAACAATGAGTTGTGCATCTTGGGGCCAACTTGGGAGATCTCTTGGAACCTCGTCGGCCCTCTTGGGAGCTTATTGGGGGCCTCTTGGATCCGATTGGGGGCCTCTCGGGACTTCCCGAAAACCTCTCGGGGTAGAAAGCTCGGATTCTCAGTTCGTGTTTCCCTTCTTGGGCCTCTCTCGGGGCCGTCTTGGGGCCCTCTCGGGCCTTCTTGGGCGCCTCAGGCACCGCCTTGGGGCCTCCGTGGGCCGCCCAGGGCCCTCTTGGAAGCCTCTTCGGCTATCTTGAAGCTGTCTTGGAGGCCTCTTCCTCCTCCTCGTCCCCCTCCTCCTCCTCCCACTCCAGCTCTCTCTCTCTCTCCTCCTGATATCCCCCCTCCTCCTGCAGCGTGTTCCGGAAGGCCCCCGCCGGAACATGCTGTGCACAAGTGCTGTCACTGCTCCCGCCACACTGCCCTGGGTGGTGGGTCAGAGGCCTCATGGGTGTTGGTTTGGATCTCGTGGTTGGCCTGTCGGGGACTGTTGGCGCTGGAGGGGAGAGGACGGGCACCTTTGTAACAGCGAGGGGACGCGGAGAGGGGCATCGGCACTGCCTGGCGCCTCGGGCGCCTCTAAGCCAAAGAGGCTAGCACGGAGGGACACGGGAGGGGATCACGACGAGGGGCGCTCGGAGGGAAGGGGGGGCTGCGGCCCAAACTCTAGCGCGCTAGACTCCCCGGGGCCCCTATCCGCCCACGCCACGGCCCCGGCCTCGTAGCCGAGGAAATGGGGCCCTGCCGCAACGCCAGCCTTGCCCTCTCCGGGGGCCGACGGCACGGGCGGGCTCCTCCGCTTCTTCCTCCTCGCCTCCTCCATCTCCTCCTCCTTCTGCGTCGCCGCGCTCAGGGCGTCTCCTGCCTCTCTTTCCTTCTTTCCTTCTCCGCCCTCCTCCTTCTCCTCTTCCTTCTCCTGCTTCTGGTCACGAGGGGAACCCCGATCACCCTCATCCCTCCTCAGGGCCTCGCCCATAAGGGCCTTGCGAGAGGCCCCCCGGGAACGAGACTTCAGCGAGAGGTTGAGTGCCCTCTCGCTAGTATGTCCCCCTTCGTCAACCAGGCACAGGGCCCCCCAACAGAGTAAATCGTGGAGGGCCAAGTTCCCCTTGCCCGGGCCCGCGCGAGTAGGGGGGTCGGCCGGCATGCGGCCGTGGGGGAGCCATCTCACCGAGGAGCCGATGCTGGCCACACTGTCTCTCACTACCGCCAGCTCCATTGAATTCCGCCGGCCCGCGCGAGAGCCGGCCGTGTTCCGGGACAGAGTGTCAAACACACTCTTCGCATCGACCACGGAAAGGGCCTCGGCCTTTTCCCCCAACCAGCACTCTCGAGACAAAATGACCGAGAATGGGGCGGCTACCTGGCACCAGTCGGGCCGGGGAACATCGCCATACACGGCGTCGCGCCACAGCACTTGCAGCCACTGGGCCTCCGCCACAGCGCTGCTGAGAGAAAGAGTTTCCGCCGCCACGGTGGAAGCCACCACGCGCTTCAACCGCTGGGATCTCCAAGACAGGAGAGAAACACGAGCACGCACGCTGTTGCGGATCCCGGAGTCGGCCGCCAGGACCAACCAGGCACCTGGGGCCCCGCCACGTTTCGCGCTCCCGGGGCCCCCCGCGTCAGAGGCGGTCACGAACAACAGAGACTGAGGGCCCAGGACCCAGACGGTGAGACGCTGCGAGGCGGTCGCCTTCACGTAACGACATATCTTCACGAGCACCAGTCCATCCGCCACCGTGGGGCGCGGCATCGCGGAAGCTAGCAGGGAGGCTCCGCCCGCCACGTCGGGGCGGGATTCACGTGCCACCCACTGAACTTGGGCGATCACGGCCCTAAAAGATCGCACTTCTTCTGGGGAAAGGGGGGCCTCCACGTTGGCCCTGCGGCTTTTATCCAGATGGAGCACCGACAGTTGCTCACGAAAGTACTTCTCTTGATCTATGGAAATGCGATCGCTGCACTGCTTAAAGTGCCTTCCCCCGTAGTCCGCCTCGGACTCCTGCCACTTGCCAAAGTGGAATCTGGAGGTCAAACTTTTCCTGAGCCCGGGAACAAACTCCTTAGTGCCAACAACGATCAGGTCGTCAACTTCGCTCAAGATCAGACCCTCAAGGGCCCCCCAGCGATCACGCTTTAACCATAAACACGGTTCCAGCATCGATGTTTGGAAGCCCAGGGTCGCTAAATACTCGGTCAACGTCCTGTGCCAGAGAAGCGGAGCGTCGTTAAGGCCGCACACTGGTGCAACTAGCTCGATCAGTTGATCCGAAAAGAGCGGCAGGCCTTGACACGGCCCCACGAATATCGCACCGCTGGGTCGTTTCAGCTTCTCGCTCTGGCAAAACGCATTCTTAGCGTCAGCTATGTTCAGGGCCCACCCGTGTGAAGCGATAATCTGCAACGTCACGACCACGCTCTCGGTCTGAGGGGTCGGGGCATACACCCGCAAAGACTCCCCGTCTGGGTCCTGGTGGCCATGGACGCACCACCTGGACTTCGCGACTGGTTTCTCCCCAACTCCCTCCACGGGCTTCTTCCTCCGGACCATCCTAGAGCTCAGAATCCGGTCTGGATGCCTCCGCCGAACGGCTCGGGACTCCTCCCGGGAAAGCACCCTAACAGCCCCCGTGGACAACATGGCTTGCCATTTCTTAAGATCGGCCTGTTCGAAATCGCGGCGCTCGTCCGCTGTCATGTCTTTCCAGCGGACCTCAGCTCCACGAGGGTTGGGACGCTTGGAAGAGTCAGCCGAGACACCGGCGGCAGAGGTCGCGCCGTCCTCGGCCTCGGCTGGGCCGTTCAAATGCAGAGAAGTCGAAAGGTCGAGGCCACCGGCCGTCGACCCCCATTCACGGAGCTCGTCGATCAGTCTTCGATCCTGCTCATCATCAGTTTTGTCCCAGAGGTCCGGGCCCTCATGAGGGCCCTCCATCTCCGCCTGGAGCGACGGGTCCTCGGTCTCCAGGGCCTCGGTCCGACCTGGGGATCGACTTCGAGCTCGAGGCGCGGCCTGCCCGGAGGCTGGGCCGGCCTCCGCGTCTCGCGGGGGCGCAGAGCTCGAGGCGCGCCGGGCCCGGGGGACGGAAGCTTCTCGCCCTGAGCCTATGGGTCTAAACAACCTCTGATCGTTCCCTCCAGATCCGCTCCGACCCCCGACGGGGCCCCCGGCGTCGGCACCTCGACTGGCGCATCTCCCCGAGTCCATAGGCTGGGGAGGCGGAGCCAGAGCGTCCAGAGCCCTACGAAGGTCCTCCGGGAGCTCGGTCGCCGCTTCTCTCTCGCGCACAGCTCTGAGGACGGCTCCCGGGGCGGGGGGGGCCTCTTCTATAGGCGTGAGCCGCGGACGCTGGCGCTGGAAAGGGGGCCCCCCGCGCTCGTGGATCCGGCGGTGTCCGCCTCGGGCCGGCGGG